TGCTAGGCGGCATGCCAGGTATAACACCGAGGATAACTAAAATTCAGGTGTTAAACTGGTAAAGCTACAATACAGGACTTCTGGCATGTCAAACAGCAAAAACAATAAGTGATAGAGCTAAGCAATCCCGTAACCAACAGATCATAGCTAAGCTCTGCAGTCCTGCTACATCCAGCAGTGAACGGTTGTGAAAAATTAAACAACTTGTTGGAGGAAGCTCCACAAATACCTTCATCCTCATTTCGTGAGAGCCCAGCACATCAGGGCAAAAGGTGAAGCAACTGCATCCATCTTCAGCTAGAAGCTGCAAGTGGATGATGCATCTCTCTGCCTCCTCCAGAGGTCCCAGAATCACAGATGCTAGTCTCCAGCCGATTCAACTCACATGAAAACCTGTGCTCCAGAACTAGCTGCACCAATAAACTTATAACAACCAGAATCTACCCAACAACGTAGAAAATTGTCCAAGCATGTCTTATGGCCAAAAGGTAGAACAAATCTAACTTAGCCAGTTGTCACATTATCAATGAACTCTTGGTCATGCGTAAAGGGAGGGAAGGGATGTCATTGACAGTGGACTATCAAGAGATACCTGCTCAGACATGACCTGCTTACTGTTGCACCAAGTAGTTCTAGAAAACCTGGAGTCAATGGGAATTAGTGGGAAACTCTCCACTGTTTTGGAGTCACACCTAGCACAAAGAAAGATGGTTGTGATTGTTGGAGGTCAGTCATCTCAGCTCCAGGCTATCACTGCAGGAAGTCCTCAGCCCAACCATCTTCATCTGCTTCATCAATGACCTTCCCTCCATCATAAAGGTCAGAAGTGGAAATGTTGGCTGCTAATTCCACAATTCAGAAATATTCAGTACTTTTCAAATACTGAAGTTCCTGCACCTATATTCAGCAAGAACTGGACAATATCCAGTTTTGGGCTGAGGAGTGGCAAGTAATGTTTGTACTCCACAAGTGTAAGGCAATGTATCTCTCCAACAAGAGATAACCTAACCATTGCCCCTTGATCTTCATTACCATTGCTGAGCGTTCTATCAAAATTGCTGCAGTCACCGTTGACCTGGACAAGCCATATAAATACTGTAGCTACAAGAGCATGTCAGAGGCTGGGAATTCTGCAGTGAGCAACTGACCTCCCAATTTTCCAAAGGCTGTCCATCATCTACAATGCACAAGCCAGGAGTGTGATGGATGCCTGTGGGAGGGCAGCTCCAACAACACTCAAGATGCTTAACATCATTCAGGACAAAGCAGCCCACCTACCACCTTCAACATTTACTCCCCTCATCGCCAACTCAGTCTGGCAAATGTATACCATTTACTAGATACACTGCAGCAATTCATGCAGGTTCGTTCCACAGTAGTCTCTAAACCCATATCTCAACCATGTAAAATGACAAGGGTAGCAGACAAGTAGGAACACCACCACCTGCAAACCTGACTTCATCTGTACTTGGAAATATGTCATTGCTCCTTCACAGTCACTAGTCAAAATCCTGAAACTCCATCACTAGCAGGATTGGGGGCACACCTATTCCTGGAGACTGCAGTAGCCCAAGAGGGTGGACAATGGCTGCAGGCTTAGCCAACAACATCCACAACCCATGAGTTTTGCTATTTTTTGGCAGTGAAGTTGGGAGTTTTAAAAGTTTTGTTTTAGGCTAAGACAGATCCTTACATTATGAACCTCCAGCCCGAAAACTGTATCCTCGGATTACAGACATTCAGCAGATTGATAATTTTCTGACAGCTTTATCCATTGTATCAGTTTAATTTTGTCTCAAACATTTTTACAATGACATCCTTCGCAGGTTATGTGCTCTGCCAAATCACTATTATTTAGTGCTAACAACTGAATCAATGTAATCTTTACATTGTGAAAGAATATAGCACATTACACTATTTTAGAATTTCACATGAAGAATTACACTCAATTAATCTCCCAATATTGATCTACCTCTTGCATATTTTTGTATTTTCTGCTTTTAGCTATTCTACTGAGTTACTACTTTCATCCATAGTTCATGTTTAGCTGAATCCTCAGCCAATCTGGTCTTATGCCATTGATTTGGAAAAGTAGAGAGACAACTTAGAGGTGAACAGAAAGTTGGCTTTAGAGTAAATATGAATACCCCTGGAAAAGGTCAATCCAATTTCTACTCATGACACAAGCATAGGGTAATGGCCTGGGGGAAGTGAAGTGCTGGTGATTGGTAGGGGTGGGGGAGAAAAATCTTGGCAAATCAGTTTTATAATCATTCATAAGCTCAGTTCTACAATTACGTAAATGCTAATACAAGGGAGATGAGAAAGGATAACCATCATTATATGCACAAGGTTATCTTTCACTAGCTTAGCTTCATTATCTACTTGGCATAACATGAGAGGAAAATACATTATATGCAGATGTTTTATGTCAATGTTGTCATTTACATAGTTAAACTTCAAGGAAATAGTTAGTTCGAGTTACATAGGCACTGTGGATTGAATGACCCTTCTGTTATTGTCCTATGCTTCTATAATTAGTTCATTTTTAGAATTAACAAATGCAAAATAAGGATTTGCTGAACTTGAATTTCTGCTTTCAAGTAAAAAAAAAGCACCCTTTTTTGTTTGCTACTCACCACAGCTAAGGATTTTAATCCACCAATATGCACCCACAGTAGGTAAAAGCGTGCATTTACCTCCTGCATTTTTAAAAAATCTACAGTAGTCCTTTGCTACACACACATCAATAGCCTGTCTTGCATCTACAACACCTGTTGTAATTTTCTCCAAATCCGTTTGATCCAAGTATATATAATCGAGACTAAAAGATTTTGTCTTAAAAATGTACTCTCCTCCTTTTCGTTACCCAATTCTCCATTCTGCCTCCACAACAGTGGCCAGTGGGCAGGATGGAGCCATGGAGCTGGCATACAGACCGGTGGTGTTATTTCTGGCAACTTTCCACCTCTGATCCTAATCACTAGCCTGATCCTGACCCCGGCAGGTCCTTTAAGTCAAACACCTGAGGTATACATTACTCCTTAGCCAGAGGGTAAGTATTTTCTGTCCTGAGATGAGGTCCAGACAATATCATGTATAAGATTTGGGAACATCTTGTTTAAATGTAGCCTAGTAACCTACTTTTCCAACTTTCTCTCAGCCAGCTCAATAGTAACTCCTTTATTACAAAGTCTGATCAAAATCTTATCTTTCAAGAATGAATTTGTACAGAACAAAAATCAAAGCATTTGTTTAAAATTCTAAAGCCATGCCCAATATCTGCATCAATTAGACCCAGTTTATGGCCTGATTTATTTTAAAATTATTTTGTAGATTAAAAATTAGAATTTAGTGTTTAGAAATCAAATCACCAATTAATTCAAATGAAGAAAGTGAATTTAGTTAGCCCAGATTCCCTCCTCCAGTTTCTTTCAAAACAACAAAAATTTCTCCAGTTTGAATGAGACAGGATAACTAAAGAACAAGTACCATAAGTCTTGTTGTGGTTTTTAAACTAAAAATAAAAAAAAAGTGTTAGAACAGTGGAAAGTTTGAATTTCATTCTATCCCTTATAACCACAATACCAAATTCCGGAAAGCAGCACTCTGATTGAACAACCTACAACCTCAAACCTGTACCTCAGGTGTTTGATTTATAGAACCTGCTGGGGTCAGGATCAGGCTTGTGATCAGGATCGGAGGTGGATGGGTGCCAGAAATAACACCACCAGTCTGTATGCCAGTTCCATGGCTCCATCCTGCCCACTGGCCATTGCTGTGGAGCCAGAATGGGCAGGGGAGACTCACATTTGGCAGGAAATTGATTGGCCATCAGAGGCTATTTTAAACTCAAGCCGAGCAGGATTTGAGGCCCTTGGAGGCAATGGGAGTCAGAGTTAGGTACCTCGAGATGATGCCTTGGGGGTGGACCGGGGGCAGTACTTAGACCAATCTTGCTTCAGAGGGCAAGAGCGGTTGTAGCTGGCTTGAAAAAGATTGCTTTTGATTTTGAATTTTAAAAATTGGCAAGGCCAAGTCTATACTGAAGTGTCTGTCCCTTACTTTCATTGAAACCTTCTGATTGACTCTCCAACTTTAATAACCCATCTGCTGTCCTTAAAGTGGACAGTTAGCCTGCCCTGTGGCCATTAAGAAATAGTATCAGGGAAAGTCACAATTTGAAATATGCTTACAGAGTGGAAAACAGGTCAAATTTTAGCCCGACAGTGGCATTCAGAAACCCAAGAAACATCCTGCCCCATATCTCAGCAGAATACCTTCCAAAAAGGTAACAGGCATTACAGGTTTTACTGAAATTTAGACATTGCAATGATTACGTTGTGGATTTTGGATTATTCACCATTACTACACAATAGCAGGATCATGCAGCAAAGTTGTAGCTATATCTCTAAATTGGCAGTAGAGAAGTTTCCTAGAATGGGAAATACAGCATGATTAAAAAGGACTGGGTCCTGTCTGAAATGTTAGACAATATTTCTTATACATTGAATACCATGCAGCAATGGTTTTTTTTGTCTTTTCAGATGTGAACTCCTAGAGGCCAGAGAAGCTGACTACCTTCCAGCAGTGATGCAACATTCAAATTCAACTTGCATTCATGAATGTAGCAAAACATTCTCAGGCACTTCATGTGAAAACTGGTATTGAACCAAAGGACACAATTAGCATAGGTGACCAAGTGTGGTCAAAGAAGGGGGTATAAAAAAAAAAGTGCCTTAAAAGTTGCATGGGTCAAAGATAATAAAGAAGGATTTTTCTTTACTCAAGTTCATGGGGCACGTGTGCTGCTGGCCAGACTAGCATTTGTTGCCCATCCTAATTGCCCTCAAGGTGGTGGTGAGCAACCTTCTTGAACTGTTGGCCCAAGAGCAACCAACTCCATATTCTCCTTATGTTTCAGGGTTAAGAATTATTTGAACACGACAAAGGAAAAAAAGGCACAGTGACTTGGTTAAGAACACACCCACAGACTTATAGAAAGTGTAAAGAATAGACTCGGTTTTTTTTTTTAAAAAAAACCGGCTTTTATTTTGCTATTAGTATTGCTGGTAACTATTTACTGATACAGCCAAAAAAAACAACAAAAAACACACCTATTAAACTGCAAGTGAGGTACATTCAGAACCTCAGATACAACTCCAATGTTAAAAACAAAATCATAAAGGCAGGCAGTACATATACTAATATGATAAATAGAAGGCATTGAACGCATGGTGTGGTTGACCATGCCAATCCGTTTACTGAGCTGCTGGCCAGCTTTACTCCTCAAACTGAACAGTAATTCGTATTTAATCAGCAAGGTGTCCAAGATCAAAGAGAGAACTCCCGCCTTTCCCCAAATCTTAACCCTTCCCTGATATAAATCTCCACATTGTACATAAGTATGTTAGAGCCCGATTTGGTTTAGATCAGTTATCCATTTCAGAAAGTTACCAAGCTTTTATACAAAGGAATTCAACTTTTATTTTTTTTCAATACACTTAAAAATTTCAGTGGAGGCTACAGTATTAGCGTTATGAAATCCAATTATACAAAAGTTGAATTAAACTACATCTATAAACAATGGCGCCAAATTGACTTCTTGGTTTGGTTCTATGTTAAGCAATACAGGCTGACGGAGTGCCATTTCCTACCAGTAAGGCTGCACCTGTTGATCATGTAAAGTAGATAGGACAAAAAGAAACTTACAATAATGGCAAACCAAAGTTTAGGTGCATACATGCATATTGTAAAATTGACCATAGCTATACATCAGCACACCAATGAGCTAGGAAATAAAACCTTGATTGGCTTTTAAATATCGATAGCAAACGGAATAGTCAGGAACAGCATTACAGATAAATGAGAGGCCGATATAATCAAGACACTATCATACTAGATTTAACAAACATCAATTCAAGACTTTCTTTAGAAATCAAGTGACTGTAATATGTGTGGTAGGACGCACTTAGTTTGCATTTTTGCTTTATAGAACACTGCAAAAGGCCTTGTGCCTTGGACGCTTAGCTTGCAAGGCAGCCCGTGTAGCCATTTCAAAAACTTCTCTCACTCCATCTTTAGTTTTTGCTGAGCATTCCATATACCCATATGCACAAATCTTGGTGACCATCTCTTTTCCTTCTTCAGGTTTTACAGGTTCCTGTATGAATGAGACAGAGGACTACTTTAAAAAATTATACAACAATGTATAATCCCTATCCAAACCTACAGAAAAATAGTTCTACTATTCCCAATCACATTCCCAAATTGCATGGGGGGGAATAACTGACTGCATACAAAGCTAACACTTTCCAGGTGAAACAGCCTTTTTTGTCTGTGCACGTCCAGGGCCCTGGAATGGTGTTTTTTTTTGGGGGGGGGGTTGGTGGAGAACATGTCTGGTTGTGGCATCCCATTGGAGATATCTTTGGCTTGAATACCACTTTTTCCTATCTTGTAACAGCTCTGATAGTGTCATTGGACTCAAAACATTAACTCTGCTTTCTTCCCAATAGATGCTGCCAGATCTGCTGAGTTTCTCCACCAACTTCTGTTTGTTTCAGATCTCCAGCATTCCCAATTCTTTGCAGAGAATATTGTACGTATGAAATAGAAGCAAAAGTCCATTCAGTTTCCTCAACTTTGCTCTACTATGTCACGTGATCATAGCTCATCTGTTTTTTTTTGCTTTAGCAGAAGTACACGTTGCTAACTACTCCAATAACTTTCGATTCCCTTCCTGGCAAAAATTGATCCATCTGTTGCTTAAAGGAAAAAAAAAAGTTAATGGTGCTGCTTCCACCACCTTACGAGGCAGAGAATTCCAAAGTTCCACAACCCTGAAAAGAAAAAAAAAGTTACCCCCATCTTAAAAGGGCAACCCTAACTGTAAAGGGTTCTGAGTTGATCCAGAAGAGGAAATAGCTGTTCCAAGTTCATCGTGTCAAGATCATTCAAGACCTTTCTACACTTCAATCCAGTCACTCCTAAACTCCAACAGAAACATGGCTATCATCTTAAAAATGCCCAGTCATTCCAGGCGATCTATTAAGCTGCCTCAACTGCTTTCAATGCATTTACATCCTTCCTTTAAAAAGGTGCACACTAGTCAAGATGTGGTCTCACTAATATTCTTCTGTTTACATCCATACTGACATTCAATTTCTCTTAAAGGATAGGATCTCAGTAGCCTTCTTGTTCTTCCTATACATGCAGACTACTTTTTATGATTCATGCAGTAGAGCACCCAAATCCATCTGTACCTAGAACTGCAGTCATTAAGTAACACTCTGCTTTTTTTGTCGTTCCTGCAAAAACAAACTTTCAAATTTTCAAAATACAGGGTACGAGAAGAACCTCGTGACTAAAGGAAAGACCACATGATTTATTACAACAGAAGCATCAAATCACTGAGATGAATTTTACTGGCAAATGGTCAATTCTCACCACCATAGCTGAAAAGCAGTTCATGATCCCACTTTGGCCAGTGGTGGAAACCTGAGGCAACACAACATGATACTGCAGTGCTGCCATCTAATTAAGGATGGTAGTCCTGCACTCAAATACTACTTCAAATCAGAGGGCAGGCAATTCAACAGCGTCCCTGCTATCAGTCACCAGTGCTTACACTGTATTACAGGCAAGAAGGCACCCTCAAAAAATTAAAGGAAGTTCAGATTCAGCCAGGGGCCCATGTGGAGCACTGACACTGACACTGACAGTATGATTACAGAGAGTCTCGGAGAGTGCTGGAGAGTCCATCAAGGAGCCTGTGACCCCAAACACAAACTGGTGGTCTCCCCACATAGAAGCAGGGCCACCTGACGCAGACAAAATATTTGCAGAAGCAGGAAGTGGCTTAAAAATAAAGGAATTAAGCTTCCATCCAAATGCTTCTCTGTGCCACTTTTCTAGCCTTCCCACCCCATCATTAACAGGCTGATGGAATTCAATTCATTGCTTGTGAAGGCTGATACTGAATTTTTCCCCCTACGATCCTCTACAAACCTGCTTCATCTTTGCCAATTCTCTCCGTGTGTGCTCATCATTCCTCAGATCTTTTTTGTTCCCGACAAGGATAATTGGCACACTAGGGCAAAAGTGTTTCACTTCTGGGGTCCATTTCTCAGGGATATTTTCTAATTTGAAGAGAAAAAGAAATGTTAAAAACAGGTACATTTTTCTTTATAACATTAAATCTCAGCAAAGGAAGGGACCACTGTCCATCAAGTCTGTGCCAACAGTTTCAGAGGCCATAAAATGTAGAAGCAGAACTAGAGCTAGGCCATTCAGATCATCAAGTCTGCTCTGCCAATGAGATCTTGGCTGATCTGATAATCCTCAATTCCACTTCCCTGTTATTTGCTTAACTCTTGATCCCCTTACTGGTTAAAAAGGTTTGTCTCAGCCTGGAATGCACTCACTCAATAAACCAGTCGTGATAGCCCTTTGCAGTAAGGGATTTCAGATTCAGCATCCTCAAGAAATTCCTCCTCACCTCTGTCCTAAATGGGTAATCTCTCACCGAGAACTTGCCCTAATCCTAGATATTCCCAAAAGGGAATACTTTTTCATATCTATGGTATAGCTGTTGGATGGGCAACTGGTTTGCAATGCAGAGTGATGCCAGAAGTGTGGGTTCAAATTTCAGCATTGGCTGAAGTTACTATGAAGGATTAAAAACAGGAACAAAAAAAAGTTGCTGGAAAAGCTCAGGTCTGGCAGCATCTGTGGAGGAGAAAACAGAGTTAACGTTTCAGGTCCGGTGACCCTTCCTCAGAACTACCCTTACTATGAAGGATTCTCCTTTTCAAACTGTCCTCACTTGACAGGGTGGTAAGTTGATCCTTTAGGTTAAATCACCACCTGTCGTCTCTATGGTCTGGTAAGACTATGGTGACTAACTGTCTTTTACCTCTCATTCTTCTAAAACGACAACAAGCCCAAGCCCAAACTACTGAATCTTTCTTCATACGAGGATTCCTACGTACCCAGGATCAACTCAGTCAGTCAATCTTCTCTGCACTATTGCGGTCCTTAAGACGAGTAGAGGCCCACACCGTTCACAATTCTAGGTATGATCTGATTACTTTGTCTAGTCTTAGCTAGTCTTTTTCCTATACCTTTTTATCTTTACACTCCATCTCCTTTGAAAGGAAGGCCAACAGTCCATTTAACTTCCTGATTACCCACTGAACTTGTTTACTGGTTTGGAGATTCATGCACTAGGACCCCCAAATCCCTGTGTGGTGCAGCTTTCAGCAGTCTCTCCCAATCTAAATAACAGTTTCTTTATTGTTCCTGCCAAAGTATACAATCTCATATTTTCTCATGCTATAGTCCATCTGCCAAATTGTTGCCCACTCACTTAAGTGGTCTATAGCCTACTGTAGACAGGTCATTCTCACCACTTGCCTTCCCACCTACTTTTGTGGAAATTTGATGATCGTCATTTCACTTCCCTCATCCAAGTCATGAGTATATATTGTAAATAATTGTGGTCCCAGCACTGATCTGTGGCAGTTCACTAGTTACAAGTGGTCATTCTGAAAACGTACCCCTTATCCCAACTCTGTATTTGATTAGCTAATCCTCTATTCATATTGATATATTTTCCTCAACACCATCAGCAATCATAAGTATCACTGTGCAGACTTCATTAAATTTGGATTTTGAAACATGATTATCAGATCTACTGGCTCCCCCTCAACTATCCTGCTTGTAACCTCCTCAAAAAAAAGTGTAATTAATTTGTCAAAGCATGATTTTGCCTTTGTGAAGCCATGCTGACTCTGCTTGATACATCTAACTAAATGCTCTAACTAAATACTAACCTTCATAACAGACTCACTTTTTCCTAATACAGATGTTAAGCCAATTAGCATGTAGTTGCCTTTTTTTGTTTCCCTCCTTTTGGAGAAGGGTGTTACAATGGCAGTTTTCCAATCCTTTTGGAATTTTCCAGAATCGGAAAGATTCTTGGAAGACTACTGCCAGTGCATTCAACATCTCTGTACTTACTTCTTTTAACATCAAAGGAAGCAATGCATCAGACCCAGGGGATTTACTGGCCTTTAGCCCCATTATTTTCCTTTGTACATTTTTTTTGCAAGAGTTAGGGCATTTATTTATCCATGGTTAACCAGGGGAGTCAAAGAACGCATCAAATTGAAAAAACCCAACAACGTCGCAAAGATTAGTGGTAAGACAGAGGATTGAGAAAGTTTTAAACACCAATAAAAAAGGTAACCAAAAAAAAAAATCACAAACAAGGAGACAATAAACTTCAAGGGTAAACTTACAAGTAATATCAAGATAGACAGCAAGAGCTTTAAATATATAAAAAGGAAGAGAGAGAATCTAAAATGAACACAGGCCCCTTACAGAATAACTCTGGGAAACAATAATTGGGTGGCAGTTAATGGTAGAGTAATTGAATTAATACTTTACATTAGTCTTCACGGTGGAATACACTTTGTGGCATTCCAAAATTACTAAGTATCCAAGGAGAAAAAGCAGGAAAAGGAAATAAACAACTCTCACTAGAAAAAATGTCTAGGGAAACTAATAAAGACCAATACGGCCCCTGGATCTGGTGGAATACATAATAGGATATTAAAGGAAGTTGCTACAGAAATGGTGGAAGATTACTTCTTAGATTTTGTAAAAGCCCTGGAGATTGTAAACTAAAGGTGTTATGTTGGCAATTTAAAAAAAGGACACAAAGCAGGTACCTACAGAATGATGTTAGAGCTTATTACAAAGAATAGATATCAGAATTGAGAAATGCATAATATGATCAAGCAGAGGTAGCATGGCTTCATAAATTGGAAATATTCCCTGATAAATTTAGTAGAATTATTTGAGATGGTAACAAGCAGAATGGTAACAGACAACCAGTGGCTGCAATAGATTTAGATTATCAGGTGGCACTTGACAGGGTACTGTACATTAGGTTACTTAGGATAAGAATCCATGGTATTGGAGGTAGTACAATGACAATCCTCTATTGATGCTACCAATTGGTTAGCCAATTTTCAGAATGACAATCTTTTTCAAGTGGAGTAACACAGGGGTCAGTACTGGGGTCACACTTATTTACAATATAAATGACATGGATGAAGAAAGTGAATGCACTATTGATGTTTAAAGATGACAAAAATAGGTGGGAAGGCAAGTGTCGAGGATGATACAAAGAGTCTGTAGAGAGTTATAGACAGGTTAGAATGGGCAAAAATTTGGTAGATGGAATACAGTTTTGGAAAATGTGAGGTTATGCACTTTGTTGGTAAAAACAGGAGGTGCTAAGCGTTATTGAAATGGAGAAAGACTGAAAAAAGCTACAAAACAGGAATGTAGGAGTCCTCATCCATGAATCGTGAAGTGTTCAGTGGGTATTAGAGTAGGCAAATGGAATTTATTTCAAAAGGAAATGGAGTAACAAAGTATGGAGGATTTTCTAAAACAATACAAGTCACTAGTCTGCAACAACTGGTATACAGTAAACAGTTTTGAACTCTTTACCTAAGAAAGATGCATTGACATTGCAGGCAGTCCAGAGGAAGTTTACCAGGCTTATAACAAAAAAATAGAGGGACTGTCTTATGACAGTTTGAGTTGGTTGAGCCTGCACTCATTGCAACACAGAAGAACCAGAGGTGACCTTATCGTAACATACAAAAAAGGTTCTTCAAGGATGTGACAGCAAAGATGTGAAAAGGCAGTTCCCCCTTGTCAGAGTGTCCAGGGCCAGAGGGCATAATCTCAGACTAAAAAGGTCACTTATTGAAAACAGAGCTAAGGAGGAGGAATTTATTCTCAGTGGTAGTGGAATTTTGGAATTTTTACTGCAGAGAGCAGTCGAGACTGGGTCATTAAGTATATGCAAGGTTGAGATAGACCTTGAATCAGTAAGGGAATCTAGGGTTATGGGAAAAGGCAGAAAACGAAGCTGAGAGTGAATCAGATCAGCTATGATCTCAATGAATAGTGGAGCAGACTTAGTGGGTTGAATGTCTACTTCTGCTCCTACAATCTTTCTGAAATCTGTATCCTCCGATTATTGACCCTGGAAGTGTACGCAGGTCAGTTTTTTTTAATTCGACGTGTAGAAGGTCCAACAAGGGAAGACAGTGCTGGACTCAATTCTAGCGAATAAAGACAGGTGGTGTTCAAGGTGACAGTGGGGAGAACATTTTACTGACAGAGACCACAATATTATTCGTCAAGTTTGTTATGAAACAAGAAAAAGACTGCCTGTAAAAAAAAAAGCAGTTTTGGATTAGGGAAGGCACATTTTATTAAAATAAGGCAGGATGTGACCAAAAGGGGACAGAATCACCCCTTTGGGGTGAAATACTGGAGCAACAAGTACAGAACTGGTTGTCTAGAAATATTCAAGACTGGATGAGAAAGGAAAAAAAGCTTTAAAGATGTACAAAAGGAGCAAATGACGAAGACCCAATGGAGTATAGAGTGTGTGGGGGCGCTTAAGAAAGCAACTGGGAGAAAAAAGGTGTACTTTAAATAAAACAATGGTGAGTAAGATTAGGTAGAATCCCAAGACATTTTAAGTATATCAAGGGGAACAGGATAACCAGGGGCAAGACTAGGGCCCCATCAGGGACCATGCAGACAAGATGTGTGAAGCTGGAAGACTATAGTAGGGTGGTAAATGAATGCTTCAATAGAAGGAGAAGGGAATTTGGGAAGTAGGACAGAAGGTCTTGAGCAGTTTCACATAAGGAGTGGGAGGTTTTGGTGGGCTTAAAACGTGGGGATGATTAGCAAGCTTTTGGATAACATGAAAACATTCAAGTTTTGTACAGCTCCAACATAACCTCCCTCCTGTAATGATCTATGCTACAACTGTAAGCCTTCTTGATTACTGAATAACCTGTCCTGCAGCTTTCAGGGATCTGTGCACAAGCAGTCCAAGATTACTCAATTTCTGAGCTTCACTGAATACTCCCTGGTCTTGTGACTTCTTCCAAAGTGCATCACCTCACACTTATCAGGGTTAAATTTCATCTGCCACTGATCTGCCTATCTGAACAATCAATTGGTCTATATACTTCTGTAACCTAAAGACCTGTTTCCTTGTTATTACTGTACAGTATTACAGCTGTGGCCAGTTCTGGTCACCACACTACAGGAAGGATGTAATTGCATGGGAGTGGGTGCTAAGGAGATTCAGCAGGATCGCCTGGGATGCAGTAGTTTAGTTATGAAGAGAAGCTGTATCAGCTCAGATTGTTTCTTTAAAGCGGAGAAGGCTGAGGGGGAACTTGAAGTGTAAAGATTTGAGGGTCATGGACAGAGTGGATACAAATCAGCTGCTCCCCCTAGTTGAGAGATGAATAAAAAGGGGACATCATCTTAAAAAAGGTGAAAGGTAGGTTTAGAGGGGATTTGAGGAAAGTTCCCCCGCCCCCCAACTCAGGAGGTGGTGGGAATCTAGAATGCACTAGCTGGAGTTGAGGCAGGAAAGCTCACAACCTTTAGAAAAGGTATTTGAAATGTCCTAATGTTCAAGATTATGGCCAAGTGCTACAAAACAGGACTAATGTACATTTTAAGAGTAGTTTTTGTCAATGCAGATTTCATGGCCCATAGGGCCTCTTCTGTATAATTATTAAGGCAGCTTCTAATTCCCAGACAAATGCCAAGATACGAAGATTCCCAACAAGGTTTTGGACAACAGCAAAATAAAAAGTCAAAACCAACAGTATTACTAAACAGCCATAGCTAAAGAAGCTGAAGAGAATAACTAAAAAAGACCTCTGCATGAAACACAGCAACAGGATTAAACTGTGACATTGCACAAAAACTGCGGTATGTCTAAGACAAGCTTTGAGTTAGTACATTATTTTGTAATATCTGTAAGATTACCAACTAATGAATGAGGAAACCTGGAAACAGACCTCTCAAAGTTCAAAGTGGCAAGTTGGGTGCTTCTCAAGTATACAATGCTTATCATTAAAAAGCTTATATGTAGAAACATAATAGCATCAATTTTTATTCGACAGGCTTAATGTTTTGTATTAGCATTAAAATTATTACCCTTCATTAAAAAAAGGGCACAAATTTCTACATAAACAAACCAGAATGACGTATCAAATCAATCAATCTTTAACCTATAGTAAGGACTAAGATTAAACACACATACAACCTAGTGCATGACGTAAATTCTTACCTAAACTGTCAGGGCTATCAATAGAAAAACACATTAGAATAACATCTGTATCTGGATAGGAGAGAGGCCTAAGTCGATCATAATCTTCCTGTCCTGCTGTGTCCCAAAGTGCCAGTTCGACCTAGGGAACAAAATAATCAATTTTCAGAATATTAAATGTGGAATTAATTAAAACTGTCTCTCTCCTGCCCTCCCTTCATGAGCTACTGCATATGCTGGACTGATGGTCAAACTGTTTTAAATGTTTTACCCTCCTCAAGGAAACATACCTTATTAGAATAGAACAGAATCCCTACGCTGTGGAAACAGGCCATTCGGCCCAACAAGTCCACGCCGACCCTCAAAAGCATCCCACTATAACCCACCTAATCTACACATCCCTATGGGCAATTTAGCATGGCCAATTCACCTAATCTGCACATCTTTGGACTGTGGGAGGAAACCGGAGCACCTGGAGGAAACCCACGCAGACACGGGGAGAATGTGCAAACTCCACACAGACAGTCACCCAAGGCTGGAATCGAACCCGGGTCCCTGGCACTGTGAGGCAGCAGTGCTAACCATTGAGCCACCATGCCGCCCTTTGGTTTCTCATATAAGAGTAATCTTTCTAAAGTGTCTGCGAAACACAATTTTCCAGAGATAAAAGCAAGTGTGAACATTGTTAGCCATTCAAAATAAGTTACTGAGCTACAAGTTAGTGGAGATTGTTCAAAAATTAAGCTCAGCAAGGAGGTTGATAACTGAAGGGTGCAATACAGTTCCTGTTTACACTGGTTCGGATAGACTTCTCAAATCAGATAAAGCACAGAAATGTTACAGATTCCCTTAGTGTGCCTCAACCCACCAACTTCATATTTCCATCACAAAACTACAGATCACAAATGCACAATGATCACAAATACATCCAATAGGGAATAAAAGAGAAATGCTTTTTAGCAGAGCATGGTTACAATGTGAAACATGCTGCCACAGAGAAAATAACTGAGGCAAATAGCAGAAATGCATTTAAACAGTAAATAAACTTGGAGGTACAAAAGGATAGAAATATATGTTGATAGGGACGGATGAAGAGGCTTGGGAGGAGACCCGAGCACAGCATAAAAAGATCAACTGAATTGGAAGGCCCATTTCTGTGCTGAAAGTTGTTTACAAGTCCAAGTAATCTTGACATTGATTCCGGAATCATTCATTCTGCTACTCAACAAAGATATATGAAGGGGAGGAAAATATCACAGCTACTAGCTCAAAAAAAGTAACATTTGTGCAAAAAAAAAAAAAAAAACAAGAATTATAAAATATGACTTCACCACCTGAATCATTGGAGTCAGGGAGGGTCTCAAAGGACCGCAAAATGCCTAGTGCAATAACCCCTGTTTAAAAGGGGAGAGAGGGAGGCAGAAGATAGGAAATAATAGGCCAGATTCTTGGCCTTGGTTGCTGCAAGATTTTAACAGTCCATTGTTAAAGATGAGGTTGCAAAAGCACTTGGAAGTGCATAGTGACATAGGGCTGAGTCAGCATGGCTTAGCCAAGGAAAGGTCATACCTTAGGATTCTTTGGAGGCAATGTCTAACTTGCCAGCAAGTTAGACAAAGGAGAGTCAGTGGCTGTGATCTATTTTTCAGAAGGCCTTTGACAAGGTGCCGCACAGGAGGCTACTAAATAAGAACCCACTGTGTTAGGGGCAAGGTACTGGAACAGACAGAGGATTGGCTGACTGACAGATTCAAGGATGAAGTGCCCTTTTCAGGATGGCAGCCAGTGACTCGGAGTTCTGCAAGGGTCAGTGTTGGGATCATACCTATTCACATTATATATCATGATCTGGATGAAGAAACCAAGGGCACTGTTGCTAAGCTTGGAAATGACAAAGATATGTGGAAGGACAGGTAGTGTTGACGAAGTGGGGAGGCAGAAGGACTTGGACAGGCTAGGAGAAGAGGCAAAGGAGTGGCAGATGGAATAAAATGTGGGAAAAGTCTGAGGTTATGCACTTTGGTAGGAAGAAGAGGTGTGGATTATTTTCCAAACGGGAAGAAGCTTTTCAAATCTGAAGCACATAAGGGGATTTAGAAGTGCTAATTCAGGATTCTCGCATGGTTAACATGCAGATTCAGTTGGCAGTTAAGGCAGCAAATGGAATGTTAGCATTCATTTTGAGGTGAGCAGAAAACAAGAGAGATCTACTGCTAAGGCTGCATAAGGCTCTGGCCAGACTACATTTGGAACATTGGGAGGGACAGAAAGGGACATGTGGCCTAGAGAGAGGAGAAAGACTCCTGGGTCTGTACTCAATAGAATTAGTGTGCGGGCAGATGCAGGAAGGGAACAGAATCTCATTGCAACTTAAATATCAACTGGCCTGGATATAGTGGATGAGGACAAGATGTTTCCGCAAGTAGAAAAGTGTCAGACCAGCGTCATTGTCACAGAAGGCTGTGGAGGCTAAGTAATTGAGTGTATTTAAGACAAGAGATAAATACATTCTTTATTAGTAAGGGGATCAAGGATTACAGGGAGAAAGCAGGGGAATGCAGTCGAGAAACATATCAACTATGATCGATGCACCAAATGGCCCAATTCTGCTCCATATCTTATGTCTTACACGAGGCGAAAAAGAGGTATTTATTCTCCCCTTGTTCCCAAGTAGGTGATGTAGATTTACACAAGTAGTTCTGGTGAAAATAACTTTGGTAGCACTTCCTTCAACGTTTCAACGACTAGCTCCTTCCAAAGTCCACCCAACTGAGATTTAACTATCAGTATGAGGAAAGGTACACAGATTTAGGCCTTACAGGGAATGCCAGGTAATACAATATGGCAACTAAAATCTTGCAAATGATACTGTTTATTATACAAACAACAGAACCGTAATCATTTATTACAAACCTGTTTTCCATCTACTTCAATATCTGCTACATAATTTTCAAAAACCGTTGGAACATACACCTCAGGAAACTGATCTTTACTGAAGACGATGAGTAGACATGTTTTCCCACAGGCACCATCACCAACTATAACCAGTTTTTTGCGTATGGCAGCCATCACTGTAAAAAGTGAAAATTACAGTTAAGAGCAATGAAGGACAAAAATCAATTCTCTTAAATACATACCATTCCAACAATAAGGAGATTTTTATTTTTTAAAAACTGCAGACATTTGAGATCTTAATTTGTAAATTCACTAAAAATTGTAAAGTAAAACTTGCATTTGGATTTTGAGTGGGACCTCTGTGTGGAAACATGGAGGGAATAACAAAATTTAATACAGACTGGAAAATTATCCTTAGACTTTCTGGTAACCTGTATGCTCAGTTCTGCTCCCACATATCCAATTATCTGGTTTTACCTTGCAATTATTCATACTTTTCTGGTGAATGAATAATGTATTTGTCACACAGCACTGGCTAAGATAGTTGCCAATACTTTTACTGCATATAAATGAGAAGTATCATTTGTTCAGGCACAGATTTGCTGCTTGACAATAATAAAAAGGTTTCTGGTTTAAAGGCTTAGACAGTTCTCAGAAAACACAATGAATGCAGTTAACGGATGTAATGTCTTTGAAAAATGTGGGTGACACAATAGCTTAGTGCGTCAAAGCATCAGTATACGGTGGTGATCACACAGGTTTCTGTAGATTCTCTATTCATGAGGTCATTAATCATGACATTACAATGGCACGACAATCAATAATCGAAGGCCAGGCAGCACTGAAGGCAGCAAATAAAAAGATCCTATCAGCTGGCAGAAACAAAGGAATTCTCCAGTTGCTCTTCTCAACTGGACAGTAAGAGGTGGTTTCCAGAGGCAACCTAATATTGCGTGGAATATTTCAAGTGGCCAGGTGAATGATACCAAACATTAAATATTTTTAAAACTTCGCAAGTTGGGATCATATTATAGCAATGGGGTACAGAATAGCATTCTTGCATGCTGGTCTAATACTCAAGCCTAGAAGTCCTATCTTGAAACAATCTTTAGTTTCAAAAAAAAAGCTTCCAATTTCCCCACAATAGCATAGTTAGAAATATTTGGGCCAAACTTGGATTTTAAAAAGGCTTTCCAACCACTTCATAAGTCACTTGTTATAGAAAATATTAATTTGTTCACATCTATAAAAAGTGTGTTCCTTGGCAACAAATTTGTCTGACAAAAGATTCTGAATTGAAGAACTTAGATATTGAATCATCGTGCAAATGTATTCTCTGCACACAAGGGAATTAGCAATTCAAGCCAAGTACAGCGCAAGGTTAAAAAAAAAGTAGCAAACAAAATTGTTAAATGAATGCACTATTTAGTACATACAAAGCAACATTTTCAGCTGGTTACATAGAAATAGAAGTTGGAACAGCAAACAAAATCCAGAAGTATCACAAAAATATTGTTAGCATTGTAGAAAAACATCACTGGTTGCTCAACTTACACAGTTAATTTTCAGAGTAAAAACTTGGAACATTTCCTTTCTTTTTTGCAAGATTTTGCCATTTGACTTTGTACTTCAGAAATACGCAAACAAAACCTTCCAACAGATTTAAAATTTTCTTCATATTTGTTACCCTGTAGACAGTACAAACTGATCACTCTACAGACAAACAAGTTGACTGACTGAAAATTCAGAAACCACGTAAAACAAGTATGCAATTTAAAACAAAATAACTCTTCACACCACAGATTTCCAAGCAAACATATTTACTGGACAGCTGCCAGAAGTCATCCCCATCTAGTCCCTGCAAAGCATTCCTAACACAAAAAAGGTTCAAACACATTAACTGGTTTTTATACTTTGGGCCCAAAGCCTGTTAGCCATTTTGCCTCGACAAATCAGTGGCATTTTTTAAAGGAAGTATTCAAAATTGATTTCAGTGTTGTCTTTTAATAAAAAGAAAATAACTCGTGGTTTACACCGCAAAGTGTTTTAAAACTTACAGAATGTAGCCCATTATTTTAGTGTCATCATTGGAATCTACTACTGCAACTTTATCTTTTCTGCTAAAATAAAGCATTTACCCCCAGTGTGAACAGGGGGCGCTTGTACAGCCTAATCTGCATTCCTCTAGATTCCAGACATATCAGAGTAAGGGACACTTCCACCAAAAAACCTATTCAAGCCAGTACAGACACTGGGGGAGGAAAAATCTTGAGCTTTTGGCTCAAAAGCTCATGAGGACATAAAACCATACAAAACAAAAGCTGGAAAAAAAAACACATAGCAATGGCTGAAATATACTTACTATTTAAGTTAGTGTGTTCTTTCCACCACCTCCAGAATACTTATCACTGCTAAGCAACCCTGGATACTGGTTCAAATGGGTGGATTGCATGTCAGAACCAGAAAGAAATGGCATGCGGAACCAAAACAGCCATTAAAAGTATCCTCCTCCAGGCACTTCTGCTACTCATGGTACTACCCACTGGACCAGCTTCTGTGCAGCAATATAATTCATAATTCCATGCATCTGTATAAACAACAGTATCAGTACTACCCAAAAAAAAACTTGGAAATGCTTTGGAGATGGTGTTCTAGCCACATGAATAGCTGTATAAATGCAAGGATTTGTATTCCTGGGTCCAAATAGTTGGCGTCAAAGCTAATTTGCTCTGTTCTAACCAACATGGTGCCTATTCTTTCTTAGGCACGCATGGACACACACACACACGAGAGTCACCTATGGCTGTGGAATTCCACAAGGGTTGAATTGCCACTTGGGTTTCTGAATACAACTCATCATTTTCCCCACTCTCAAAAAGTTTCCATTCCCATCCCTGCTGCCACCGCCCCAGGAAGATTCCAATTAGAAGGTAGAACTTGGAAGAAGAGCCTAGATATTTTTCAGGAAACACTAGCTCAGACCAGTTAAACTGTTTCCATGCTGTAGATTACATATAAATTGCAATGGAACACACAACTAGGGTCATTTCTACAAGACAGAACTTCCACAATTTCTACATAGGATCATGGTCAGAGGATTGCTAATCATGACTCATGCACAATCTCATCATGAAGCATGATGGAGGTTACAGGCTCCAAAAATCTACTACAGTCAGTACCAGGAATGAACAGAAGCAGTGTAATTCAATGCCACACAATAGCCATCTAAACTAACCAAGCTCCAATATAAGTTACAAGCTATAAGATTGAATGGTGGTATAAAATGGCCATATGATGAAATTGAATGCAGACTTTCAGATTTTGGACTGAGTTGACATCAACTTCACAATAAATGAAATCTCTATCAGTCTCTTGGGTACAAGCAGCATACACAGACACCGCCACTCTTACTAAAAACTTAGTTGGCTGAACCAGAGGTGCCCAAATCGTGTATATTTCATATCAGCTCATTATACATGTAACCAGGAAAGTGAATAGAATGTTCTGTTCTATTGCAAGAAAAACTGATGCAAGAGAAGGGAGGTTATGCTTCAGTTAAACAGGGCATTGGTGAGACCTCATCTGGGCTACTGTGTACAGAATGGGTCAGTGTATTTACAGAACAATACATGCATTAGCAGCTCAGAGAAGGTTTACTAGACTAATACTGGGAATGAGCAGATTACCTCATAAAAGGAAAGGCTAGACAGGCTAGTCCTATAGGCAGTGAATTAAAAAAAAAGTCAGAATTAAAACATACAAGGTGACTTCACCAGGTGATATGGAAAGGAGATTTTCTTGTGTGATGAGTCTAGAACTAGGGGTCATAGTTTTAAAGAGAAGAAGAAAGAATGGTCACCCATTTGAGACAAAAGGTAACGTTTATAATCTCCAGGTGGAGTGTCATTGGAATTCCGTTTCTCAAAAGACAGAGGATCCAGAATCTTTAGATATTTTTAAGGCAGAAGTAGATTGTTGATTACCAAATTTAGAACTGGGGGTTAAAAATCAGATCAACCATGATCTTACTGAATAGCAGTGCAGGCTCAAAAGGGCCACATACCTACTCTTCTTCCTTGCTTATATGTTCGTGAATATAACTCGACAGCTTCTAAAGCCAAGATAAGAATCAGCTTCTATTTCGATCCAATTACTTAGATATGTAATAATCTGGATGGCTTTGCCAATCTATATGGCTGCATGTCATAGACTATGATAAAGAAAAGGCAGTACAACAATTGTATTAACCTGCCCAAAAATATTGTTTGCTGCAGACACCAATCTTCAAGCTATTTCTACGTTCCATAAAAAGGTATGTCTGAAAGAATGTTGGTTAAGAAAATTAATTTAAAAGGCTATGATGGATAAAGTTTATAGAAATTAAACTGTGTACTTAAAAAGAAAGCAGATTTTACTTCTGAAAAGGATCAAAGTTATACTCAACTGGTTCTTTAGACTTCTCTACTGGAATTGAAGTAAGCTTCTAAATAATTAGCAACATTTAAAAAAAAATAAAATAGCATGTCTCTCAATGCATGGCATTTTCTTTTCAGACCAAACTAGAAAGTTAAAAGGAAAAAAAAAGTGAGTGGGCAAAACTACAGCAAATAGTGTTCAATGTAAAGAAATACATTTTGGATCAGAGAAACAGATTAGAATAGTTTCCTAAACGAAGATAGAGCAGGAATTGCAGAAGGGGAAAGGGATTTAGGACCCCATGTATACAGATCAACAACTAATGCACCACTACAAAAGTGGGAAAAAAAGTCCAAAAGAATGTTGATCATGATCTCATTTGGGGTTGAGCTAACATGTGCTCAAAACTCATTTGGAGAGCAGCATTCAATTTTAGGCACTACACCTCAGAAATAGTACATCAGTCTGAGATGAAAGACAGGATTCACCAGAACGATACATTGATTTCCATGGGTTAAGTGATAAAGACAGGCTGCATAGCTTGATTTTTCACTCAGGTTTGATGGTTTGAGATGTTGGAATAAACTCTTGGAAATTATATGGGGATTTTATAGCTTCTCTGCAACTACCCTAGACGAGAATGAGGGAGTACCATACTAAAATGCATGGCAGACCGAAATCAGGAGGTCAGCATTGCAAGTCTGGAATTCTTTTGCCAATATATTCTGGTTCAATTGTTTCAAAAAATAAAAAAAAAAAA